GCGGCAGCGGCGGGGCCCCCCCGCCGCTGCTGCGGGCGCGGCGCCGGGGGGGCCCCCGGGGCCCCCAGCGCCCCCGCTCCCCCCGGGGCCCCCGAGGCCCCCGGGGGCCCCCGGGGGCCCCGGGGGCCCCGGGGCCCCCGGGGGGCCCCTGGCTGCAGCGCCGCGGGCGTGGGCGGGCGCGTTTGCTGCAGCAAGTGCTGCTGCGCTGCTGCGGCTGCTGCGGCGGTGTCTGCTGTTTCCTCCAGCTCTTTTCTTCAGATCTCCTTCCAGGAGACTTTACTTTTCTGCTGTGACTTATATGCTGATAAGGTGGATGTACACGGACCGGCTGGACGTGCTGCTGGGGGCCCCCTCTTCTGCTGTTGTGGGGCCCCTGGCCAGGGGGCCCCCCGAGGGGCAGGCGCTGCTGATGGGTCTTGCGCTGGCTTGTGCTGCTTGTCTTTGCTGCTCCTTTGTCTTTTTGTCGCTGCTGCGGGCGGCCAATTTGCTGCCAGCAAGTCTGCTGCACCACCCCCGCATTCTCACCTGCACCCACCTGCTGCTGCAGGACAGCAGCAAGGCCCCCCGCAGCTGCAGCAGCAGCAGCAGCAGCAGCAGCAGCAAAGACCCGGCTGCCAAGGCAGAATGCGGCACGCCCTCTTCCGCCCACTCCAGAGAACAAGAGGTCGGGCTGGCAGCTGCTGCTCTGCTGCTGCTGCTGCTGCTGCTGCTCAGCTGCTGCTGCTGCTGCTCTGCTGCTGCTACTCCGCTGCTGCTGCTGCTGTGCTGCTGCTGCTGCCGCCGCCGCCGTCACTGCTGTAGAGACTGTTGGGGCTTGCAGTGTGGTGCGTCTGCGGGTTTAGGGTTTGGCGTTTAGGGTTTAGGGTTTAGGGTTTCTGTGAGGGACTTTTTCCTCAGGCTTGCATTTTTTGTTTTGACGAAATGAAGCCAGGAGAACTCCTCCGCGTTGTCACTTCTTGCGGCCACAAGTTTCACGGTGGGGCCCCACAGCACAGCACAAAACGCCCCCAGGGGCCCCCAAAAGGGCCTCCAAACCCCACAGGGACTGCTGCAGCAATTGCTTCTGTTGTTGCTGCTCCCCTTGCTGCAGCAGATTCAGCTGCTGCTGCGGCTGATGCGTCTCTTTGGAGGCCGCGGCTGCTGCCCTTCACGGGGATTGCTGCTTTTTTGGCCAGTATAGAAAGTTTAGGGTTTAGGGTTTAGGGTTTAGGGTTTGGGGTCTGCGGTGTTTGTGCAGCTGGCTGCCTTGACGTTTGGCTTTTCGACAGGCTAAAGGCCTCGTGCCCAATGTGCGGCCCTTTTCGCTACCCTAGTGGGGAGGGGCCGCCCCTTTTAGCCTGAGACGGGCCCCCTTGGGGGCCCCCAGGGGCCCCTGGGGGCCCCCAGGGGCCCATGGGGCCCCCAAAGGCCCCTGGGGCCCCCAGGAGCTCTTGTGGGTCTCAGGGGGCCCCCGTCTGTCACCAAGAAAATGCAGGTGGGACCCTTGCCTTTGGGGGCCCCTTGGGATGGGTCAGTCTTTACTTGCTCTTGTGGTCAGGAGATGGGGCCCCCACGGGAGGTACCCTGTGCATGCGTTGCGGGTTGCCGGCGTAGGAAAGCCCTACAGAGGGCCCCCAAAGGGCCCCCAAGTGGCCTCTGAGGGTCCCCGTAGGGGCCCCCAAGGGGCCCTTTTGGGCCTTTCAAATGCGGCCAAGTTGCACACAAAGATGACTTAGCTTGGTCGTCTAGAGGTTGGATATTTGGCAGTTGGGGCCCCCTTCAAATCCGTCTTGCGATGGGGGGCCCCTGAGTGCTTCTTGGCTGTGGGCTGCACCTTTTTTTGCAGCAGCAGAACAGAGCCTGTTGGTGGCTGCCAGTGCTGCTAAAACTGCTGCTGCTGCTGCTGTGGCGGCTGCTGCTGACCCCCAGCTCCGCTAGGGGCCCCAGAGCCTTGTGTCATTGATGGTACCCCGTTGGTGTGGGGCCCCACGTACAAACCCTGCGGGTACAGATTTATATAATACTTCTTTAAGATATGAAGGTAACTAAAGACTAGTGCTGGCCCGCTAAAGGCGCAGTCAGGCCCGCGCTGCAGTTGATGACTTTCCTGAACACTCCCAGATCCGACGGCTTCCTGCACTGGCAGCGAGGAAAGAGCATTTAGGCTTCTAGCTTTTAGGCTTTTTGTTTCAAATGAAAGCATTCTTTAATCAAACTTCTGCCTTGGTGAGGCCCCACTCTGGTGTTGGTTTGCCCGCCCACAGCAGCAGCCTAGACAATGCGCAGCTTTCCTGCAAAACTTTTCTTCTATCCATTTGACTATGAAAGTACTTTGGCTGGCCTGAGGCAAGTGGGTGCCTAGGACTTTGAAATAAACCTCTTTTTGTCTACTTTCACCAGTGTCAGTGGCTCTGTTCTGAGGCATATGCAGCAACAGGAGTGGCACAGAGGAAGAACCGCCCGCGAATTCTTGCTGCAGAAAGCCCTGCCTCTTACTGAGGTGCAAATGAACTATTTGAGGCTTCTTTTTCGTGCAGATGCATTTGCACAAGAGCTTTTATGCAGTTGCATGCCCCCCGTGAACTGTGCCACTCACGACTGCCCAGAGCCACCAACAAAACCTGCGTAGTTTGCGCTGCAGCTGACAACTAGAGATGCGCCTAAGCGAGTGCACAGTTCTATATCACCTTTCGATCTAAATAATAATACAATATTCTGAAACGCATAAGCCAGAGTTGCTCACTGGAAGAGATGCCGTGTGTGAGAAGGTTCGTGGCTGCCTGCTTGAATGTCGGTACCAGTGACTAATGACGCTCAGTGCATTTAGTAGTATGCAGATGCTCACGCCATCCTTGGGAAAAAGCGGTGTGGAGTTGTTTGCCGTGCGTCTTCATCTGCAATCAATTCTTTTTGAACTACGGCTGCTCTGAGCAGCAACGGACACGAGCACCGATTTGAACTAAGAGCATCACTTAATTTTTGGAGGAAAGCACACGAGGCAACAATTTCACAGGGATTGCTTTGTCTGTGTGTGGCCTTCACTCGTAAAGGGGGCAAGCTCAGGCCAGGCCAATTACCGTATGGCTTCGCCGTCCCCTGGTCAAGATCTTGTTTGCCTCTTGTTCAGCTCAGGAGAAGATACGACAAGATACGGCCCCCCATGCAGAAGCACGTGCAGAAACAAATAAGCATATAGTGGCATTTCTACAGGTGCCACTGTAGCCAAACACGCTAGCGTGAGGCCTCAGGGTACTCTACCGACGGCATTCCTGGGCGTTCGTCATCTGTGGCACTGGGAACTGCAAAGAGGCTTCACAAAAGGACGGACGATGGGGCGGTGTTGTTTTATGCTTTCGGCCGCTCGCCAGAATTAAATGTAGCTAAGAGAGGGGATAACGTGGGGTGTATCATGGGCAAATGAGGGCATGTTCACAAAGTACGCTGCACATCATTTGGGGGAAGCTGCCTACGCCTGTAAGGCAAAATGCCGAATTGGGGCAGTGCGAGGCACAGTGAGACAAGACGGCACTAGGTAGAGCAGCTGCAGAAGCTGCCTAACGTGCGTGAAAGACTAGCAGAAGAGCATTCGAAGCAAAGGGCAAGTTTGGGAAAAAGCAATCATCTACATCAGTGAAGTAAACAGAAAACGGAATGAAGCTCCTCAGGGCGCCGCTGTGGAGGCGCAGTCGACTAATCGATCTCTGCTGTAGTGGCTGTGCTGGTGCGAAGCCAGATGTGTTGTGGGAGCCACTTTAAGGGAGAGTGAATGGGATATCCGGTGACAAAGAGGGTCCTGCGAGCCACTTTCTGCTGTGATGCAGTTAACGAATCTCTGAACAACACAAGACAAGTCGTGCTCCACTGGTTGAAACTTTTCTTTCCAGGAACTGCTGCACGTTTTTCGAGCCAGTCGAGCAGAAATGTTTCAAGGCTTTATGATTTCATTCCGATTTGCGGCGCGAAACTCACGTTTCGTCTTTAAATTCATGGTAGACTTGTTTTTTTGAAGTTCTATGTCAAAAGCGTCGCCCAACACATATTACGGACCACCTAAGCGTAAGTGAAACATACGGAAAAACGCGGAAAGCGCTTATTTGGGAATTCATGTATTTGCTGAACTGTAAGTTCCGTATTTTCTGCGATAGCAGCCCCCCAAGACCCACTAAATCTACGCCAAGTTCTTGCCAGGGTCAGCTCACAGTACAGACCCATTTGGAGCCCCGAGGGAATCTCACAATGGATGATTCCTGCTGTTACCGCCACCAACACTCCTGCAAGGCGAAAGCAATACGGTTGTAGGCCCTATTTACTTTAGAGGCAAGTTTCAGGTCCTTTTAAATTTGTTCCGCAACTCTTGCGAATCTTCTTTATGGTTCATCAGCTCTCATGAGAAGATATTCACACGAGCCTGCACGCTTAACAGTGCTTTGATCCTGTAGAACATGCTGTTAGGGCAGTGCATTCCGGACCTGCTACCACCTACAAGCGCCTGAAGTGCTACTTAGGCAAACAAAGAGTATTTCAGACGGTTTTACGTGTTATTGCGTTAGTGTTTCTTCAGAGGTGCATACAAGCAGGAGCACGGAGCAGGTCTGTAACGAGCACGGAGCAGGTCTGTAACGTGTCAGTTGAAGGCGCCTTACTCGAGAAGCCGAACACGCCCTTAAGTGGTATCATGGTGCCATAAATATTCATTAAAATAAGGATGAGCATATAGAAACAACTCTAGTGAATGCTGAACGTGCAAGAAATAATCAGTCTCGCAAGCGCAAGCACTGCCTCGAGGATTTCGCTTGCTGCAGGATCGAGGTACGCTGCAGCTCTTTACGATAAATCCATTGCTAACATCACGCTAGACATGTTCAAGTTCATGAAAAAAAAACTGCTAAAATCTTAACTTGTGGGCCGAAAGTATTAAAGACGTCCTCACCAAAGTTTCTGCCATAGAGTACAATTGCGGACCGTGTGCTGGTTAGCCAGTTACGCAGACACCAACTCACTTTTGGAGAGTCTTTAGCTTGCATGCCAAGTGAAAGCCGAAATCGTTAAATTTAAAGCTTGGCTGAAGGGAGTTTCCGCCTCTTCAGTGCCGTGAGCTACGCCCAGCTGGACAGACAGATCCACTGCCATATGCCAGCCCCAAACTCACGCCTTCCAGTATTGCACAAATGATCTAGGAACCCTCATACCTTTGTAATTCCTACCTACCACTGCACATTAATGGCATACACGTCACTAGGTATCCTAGAAATGGACTTTTCAAGCAGCCTTCACACTCCATTATAGAGACGAGCAGTGTCGCCAGCTGTCTTTTTGAGCTTAACTTCTCCTAGACAGGCTCTAGGGGAATTTCAGCGTGAATTGCACTATTGACATTTGCATGCGTATGCCACAAAGACGGGCTTCGAACTGGCACTACTCAGAATTCATTGGGGCATTTTCGACCAGCCTGGTTGCGCCGGAACGTGCCCAAACAGTTGCAAGGCCAGCACGCCACCTTTACGACCTGTGGTCCACAAAATTAATATTAACGCATCTGTGTACAAATTTCGATGGGGAATATAAGACTGCGCTACATAATTAGAGTCGTATCCATAAATGCTGCTACTGGTGACTATGCGGCACGACGGCTAACGCTGTCCACGGTGTGGGGTTTTAGAGGGCGGAATTAACACTGTTACATCCGAAAATGAATACCCTCGAGGCTCAACAAACAAAATGCATAAATCAAACAATGCCGATTGACTCGAAAAGTGCTAGGTGTACCTAGACTGGCCTGCAGCCCACTGATCCTCTGGGCCGACGGTCAGCCCGAACTCTGGTTGACTGCCCGTGAGTAACGGCGTCTCAACGGTGGCTTTCGTAGCACTTGCGTCTCCACATTGTTTTTAAATCCTGTTGCTTTTTTTTTATTATTAACATGTGTGTCGTCAATCTCTTTTTCTCCGTATGGTTGGCGCCTGCAGCAGCAGTAGCGAGCCGCGCCCTGCCACTAGCTGAAGCTCTTACAGTGTCTGAGGTCATTCAAATGCATGATGAGGCATCCGTAAGCCATAAAGGGGGCTCTGCATTGGGGGAGAAAACCAGGATCTCCTCAAGAGCCTTTGCGGCTATCTCCGCAGTCGTTGCTGCGTTTGCGACGGTGTTCTTCATCCTCCAGTGCTTTGAAGCTGTTAAACGTTACAAAGCCTTCAACAGCAACAAACCGGTCCGGCGGAGGCTTG